CAGACAGTCAACACAGAAATCAGATTGACTATGTGCTCTGCAGCCAAAGATGGAGAAGCTCTATACAGTCAGTAAAAACAAGACCAGGAGCTGACTGTGGCTCAGATCATGAGCTTCTCGTTGTAAAATTTAGGCTTAAATTGAAGAAAGTAGGGAAAAGCACTGGGCCACTCAGGGATGACCTAAATCATATCCCTGATGATTATGCAGTAGAGGTGACAAATAGATTTAAGGAATTAGATCTGATAGACAGAGTGCCTGAAAAGGTTTAGCAACATTGTATAAGAGGTAGCAACTAAAACCATCCCAAAGAAAAAGAAACGCAAGAAGGCAAAATGGCTGTCTGAGGAAGCTTTACAAATAGCTGAGGAAAGAAGGGAAGCAAAAGGCAAGGCAGAAAGGGAAAGATACACCCAACTGAATGCAGAATTCCAGAGAACAGCTAGAAGAGATAAGAATGCCTTCTTAACAGTGCAAAGAAATAGAAAACAATAGAATAGGGAGGACCAGAGATCTCTTCAAGAGAATTGGAGATATGAAGGGAGTGTTTCATGCAAAGATGGGCACAATAAAGGACCAAAATGGCAGAGACCTAACAGAGGCAGAAGAGATTAAGAAGAGGTGGCAAGATTATCCAGAAGAACTAGACAAGAAAGTGCTTAACGTCCCTGATAACCACGATGGGGTGGTCACTGACCTCGAGCCAGACATCCTGGAATGTGAAGTCAAATGGGCCTTAGGATGTCTGAGCAACAACAAAGCTAGTGGAGGTGACAGTATTCCAGCTGAGCTATTCAAAATCTTAAAAGATGATGCAGTAAATGTGCTACACTCAATATGCCAGCAAATTTGGAAAACTCAGCAGTGGCCACAGGATTGGAAAAAGTCAGTTTGCATTCTGATCCCAAAGAAAGGCAATGCCAACTAATGTTCAAACTACTGCACCATTGCACTCATTTCACATGCTAGCAAAGTTATGCTCAAAAGCCTACAAGCTTTTGTAGGCTCAAAAGCCTACAAAAGCCACATACAGCAGTATGTGGACCGAGAACTACCAGAAGTAATTTATTTTCATTGGTTTTATTTCCGCACAGATAACATCTTTTTTTTTAGGGGAACAAAGTTGTGAATGTTGGGAGTTTTAAGACTTCTTCTTCTCTGTATAAGAATGCACCTTAATAGTACCTAATCTGTGCACTCTGGAGAGCAGTCACATTGGTTACGAGATCACTCTTGATGTATATACTTTCATTTGCTTTTTCTAAGATTAAGTTTTCCAATTAGGATATACCATATTTCCATCCATTGCTGATAGGAGGGACTTATGACTGAATGTGTTTAATAACTATTTAGTGACATGTTTTAGCTGACTCAACAATCTACCCTTGTTCATTACTGTAGGTGGGTTGTCATGTCATGTGAACAGAGGGTGCTTCACTAAGGATAGCTTGTTTACAAAATGCAAGGCAACCATATGTGTTGACTGAGGATTGTTGGCACTCCATATGCTATTCTAGGGTTGATCTCACCCATGGTTAGTTGTTGTGTCACCTGAACTCAGCTGACACAGTCCACCATGGGTGAGCCCAAACAGTCAGTGAGCTGTTTCTTTCAAACGGCAAATAACCCTTCTTCGTCTTGACAAGTCCCTATCAGGGAAGCACTACTAACCTCAGCTTCCAAAGTGTCTAAGCAGTGCTTGAGGCCTGCTGTCAGAAGCTTTACCTTGTACATGACAGTACTGAGAAGCCGTCCCTGTCAGTGGCTCAAGAGTAGACTTCTCCAGCAGTGAGCAGGGTTGGCTGGGCCTAGTTATCCTTGCCAGTGTACAACATGGTAGGGACAGGTCAGGGTCAAGGAGCACTCCCAAGTTGCATACCCTGTCCTTTAGGGGGAGTGCAGCCTCATCCAGAACAGGGCAAAACTCTTGATTAAAAATGTTTCAGGTGATTTGAAGTTGTTTACAAGGTCTGTTTGATCCATGGAGCTTATTCATATGGGCTGATTGCAACTTGATGCAGCAGTCAGCGAGTGATGAACATGCATGTATGAACTGTCCTTACCTACATATGTCATTGTATCTAGCATGTATCTAGCTGTGCTTTTAATTTCATTGTTTGGATATTTAAATAAGATTTGAAATGTTTTCACTGCAAATTCTGGATATCTTTGAGTAATATCAGCGCTTCTTTCATTAATTATTTTATTTTAAATTTGCACCTAGAAAAAGTAATGCAACAACTATATATGGCTCCCTAGATATTTTGTAATTATAAAAAGGTACCATGCATAAACATCCCGTTCTAGAATAATCCTTGTTGATACAACTAAACCATGTTGCACCTTCCTGTTTTCTTTTCAACTCAGGTGGACAACAGATATGAGGGACCTTGGGAGCCGAGAGAGAAAGTTGTGGCATTTGGCTTTGATTACTGTTATTGGTCAGTTGATCCTGAGGATTCTAAATATTCATCTCAGGAAGTGGTAAGTGTGTTTGGTTCAGTTCTTTCTTTTCAACTAAATATGTAACACAAATTAGCCATTTCTATTTTGGATTGGTGGATGGAGGGGGTATGAACTGTCTTACTGATTCAGGCGAATAATGTTACCTTACAGTCCACTGCAGGTGTTTCTCACACTTGCCAAATGTCCAGATGTTTTAAAGCAGTTTTCACAATCAGGAAAAAAAATACCAGCTCATCTGCATGTAACTATGGGATATCTGTGTCTGAGCAATAAATATCAGAGAAATTATTGCTTACTCTGGGTCAGCTGCTAACAGTAGTGGTTTTCACAGTGCATTCGTCCACCTTGGTTGCTTAGGTTAATGTGACTTGCACTTTCCATTGTCTCATTCCTCCAGTCATGCTATTTTTAGATGGCGTCAACTGCTGCATCAACTTCTCCCTGTTTAGCTTCACTGCAAATGAATACAACAAAGCAGCGGTGTAGTTCAGATCATGGTATAGAATGACTGTGGTGATTACCAATGGATCCATTTTCCCTTTTGTAGGGATTTTGCAAACTTTCCATTGATCATGAGAGTATATTCTGTTACATATCTGTGTACACTGGTATTTGTGAGAAGGTTCAAGTCTTAAGAATATAGCAAGAAGAGATACAAATAGAATATACCGTTCCTGTTTTCTGAGTTTCTTGCAGACTAAAATTTTAGAACATCCTGAATATAAGATGAATTTCTTGGCTTAAATCTCTATATATGCCTCTATTCTGTTAAATAGTCTAGTCAACTCTAATCTACCTGGATACAGTGTTCAGCCTCTGCTGCTAACGTCATAAGTTCAGAGGGTGGCAACTAGGAGGAGGGTCTTTTCTGTGGTGGCCTCCCATCTTTAGAACAGCCACCCTGCTGCAGCCTACCTGGCACCATATTGCCATCTTTTCAGTGCCAAGGCAGCCCTCTATGCAGAGACCTTTAAAGATCTCCTTGGTTATCCAGGGCTCAAGGGGATTATCCTGGTTATTTTTCTTCTTGCTGGGTCATTTACTGTGTTTTTCATCTATTTAAATTTAATTTTAAATTCTTTTAACACTGCTGTTTTATGTTATTTCTATTTTATTATTTGTTTTATACATGCTCAGAGAGCTTCAGCCAAGTGGTAGTATAGAAACAAATAATAATTTGAATGCAGGGTGAATTCATATGATCTTTTTAACACAAATCAGAATGGCATCCTGTAAAATTGGCAGGGCAATACAAAGTCAATACAGATAACCATTTGCAAATTGATATATATGTCATATCATTCATTGTTGTTGTTGTTAGTTGTGAAGTCGTGTCCGACCCATTGCGACCCCATGGACAACATTCCTCCAGGCCTTCCTGTCCTCCACCATCCCCTGGAGTCCACTCAAGCTCACACCAACTGCTTCAGTGACTCCATCCAGCCACCTCATTCTCTGCCGTCCCCTTCTTCTTTTGCCATCTATTGTTCCCAGCATCCCAGTATATCATTCCTACATAAGTAATTAAGGGTACAGTCCTATGGCTGTGAGATACAGTCCAGGTAGACATAGAAAAATCTGGAGCCCCAGCAGTGACTCTGGAAAAGTGCCTAGAAGTTGGAGCTAGGACTCCTAATTTGGAGAGTCCTTCTTCCATCCCCACAAGCTGGCATAATTCTTTTTATGTTTGCTGCAGCTCTGAAGTCAAAAGTAGACTTTGGAATTAGTTTGGGAGAGGGATGGGGAGCAAGGCTCTGCCAGGATACAGGAAGTTCTGGGTGGTGCTTCAGGCCATCCTTCTTATGCAAGGGAGTAACATTCTGAGATGGTTGAAATGAGCTGTCTGTCCCGAAGGGCTGAGGGAACACAGAGGCAATCCTTGCCTCAGCTTTCCTCCCACCCTCTGTTGAATGTCTATAATTCTCTACATTTGGAGGGTTATCAACAGCTACACTGGATTGTGGCCTTCAAAAGATATTTATATAATTTTGTCAATAATACATACAAATATGTAGCAGTGACTTGCCTTATATTCTGCCATCATTGTTCAACTCCTTTATTAATTGAAGCCAGTGATATTGTGGTCAAGTTTGTCATGCCATTGAGTATTACAATATTGTTCTACATTAAAGTAATAGAAGGTTTAGGCTTGTCACTACTCAGCTGTGGACAGCAGAAATATATGAAACTAAAATTCGTTCTATAGACATTCTATAGACAGTTCACCATGAGTTATATCCTTACCAATTGATACAACAAAACATTAAGGACCCCTTTGTTGACCTGACAAGTCATCGTAGCAAAGATTATTCATATGTTTGCTCAGCATGCATCTAGGTTCATTAAGAAAATTAAAACTAACCCAACAATAACTAGTGTCTCTACAAAGGTTTGCCATTGCCAGACTTTATTTCATGAAGTGTTTGTGTATTTTTTTAAACTGATGTCTCAGAGGTACTCAAAAGTTTCTAAGATAACTCAAAGTAACCAGAACACTGTGTAAAAATCACTGATCCAGATACTTATGATGAGTCTTCTATCACATTTTAATAATCAGTTTCAGTATAAGGTTTTCAAAAACACTTGGGCAGCTTGTTAGACTGTTAAAAAGGTGAAAAGATATGTCATTAGACTACTAAAGGAGAAAAATGTGCCATTTATCAAAACCCTGTAGAAACCAGAGTTTCAGCTTCTTCAAATCCACATCTGGATTGTGCTAACACCATTTGCTTTGGTGTCTTATCGTTTGGCTTCTGTTTCTTTTACACCAGCATAATTAAAGTTCTTTCCATTCAAAACCCCATGTATTCATGATATCATGACAGGACATGGTGTTTCAGAAAAAATGAGATTATAAAGATGTGTTTACCATTTGTTCAGTAAATCTATCTGTAACAAAAATCTATGTTGTAAGCCGCCCCGAGGCTTCGGCGAATGGGGCGGCATAAAAATGTTTTAATAAATAAATAAAATAAATAAATGTAATACTTTTGCAAAGTAATCCTATGAATGTTAAGAGAATGCTCTGACACTGGAGTGTTCCAGTTTTCATATACTCTGCTGGCAAGTGCTGAGTGGAACGTCAGTAGAAGCAATCTTCAACTCTCAATCCTCCTTTTTAGTGGTATTCCACAGGGATGATAGATGGCAGGATTTAGGTCATGCAGATCCTTGGTGCTTCTCCAGGCTGCCCCTCTTCTCATTTTCTTCTTTACTGGAGCTATGCTTTTTAATGAGGAAGTCCTTGAATTACTTTTCATAGTAACTCCAGATAGTTGGAAAAGTTGGAGGAATAATCCCCGATTAGATTTTTCCTCCTGAGGTTATAGTAACGGCTACCTCCTCAGAGAGGAGAATTTTGCATTAGATGTCCCAGGAATCATAGAATTGCTTTCTTAGTTAACTATTGCTTGTGAAGGGGAAGAATGTCACACGGAGGTGGGTAGAGACCTGTTCTCCCCTGCAGAGGAGGGCAGGACGCGCTCCAATGGAGCAAAGCTCAGGGAACCCAGCTTCAATTTAGATGCCAGGAAGTACTTCCTGACAGTTAGGACCCTGAGGATATGGAATGGGCTTCCATGGGAGGTGGTTGAGGCCCCATCTGTGAGGGTGTTCAAAGATAGGCTAGTCATGTATATGGTGGGCATGTCGTGAGTGGAGCTGGCTGGAGTCAGGGGTCAGACTAGATGGCCTGAGAGACCCCTTCTGACTCGTTCTGTTTCTGTGTTTCTAATGTGATCTAGAATGTTATGAATCATCCTCTATATTTTATTTTGCATTCATAAATAAAAAGAGCAGTATTTTTAAATACAATTTAAAAATAGACAGGTGTGTCCTTAAACTTGCCTGATGGTTTTCATCAATTAACTAATTGTATCACAGTCTTCATGTGATATAAGAATTAAGATTTTTGTTAAAAGTCTGAAAATAATTTCATGCAAGTTTAGCTGCTGTATAAACTATTTCCTTTAAGTATATTCCTATAAAGAGCTTTTATTTGATGTCAGAGAAATAGGAATGGCTATCTTTAAAGTAATTTGAATGCCAGGTCATAAAAATAGCATTGCTTTCTTGCTATAAAGAAACTATACTCCTGTTCCTTATTTAAGCAGCTGGAAAATATACACATGTGAAAGCTATTATTAAAAACTATTCTCTCTGTGCCTTGTCTCAGCTTTTCTCTGCTGCTGGCTTAAAACTCGTTAACACTTGCTATCTTGTGTGGATTTTATTAAAACCTATTTTGAAATGTTATTCAGTTGAGAAAGCAGTGCACTGGCTGGATGCACACGACTCAGCAATCCATTGTGGGTAACTAATCATTGTAAGTTGTTGTGCCTTGTGATCCCAGACGGCTTCCTTCTAGGTGGCTTGTTTTAGTGCCAAACTTTTTTTCACAACCCAGAACTTATTCTAGACATTATCAAACTCTATCATGCATCCAGGGAAGTGATGAGCATGATGCTGAGCTTGCCTGATTTTTTATGATCTCAACCATGGACAGCCCCACCAAGGTGATCAAGTGGCATATTGAAGTGTCTGTCACTTGATCAGAACTATCTTTTCTTCTAGATGCCAGAAATGTTTATAGATATTTTGTAATGTTCTTTCAGTATTTTTTCCAGTCTTGCAGAAGTGTGCGTGACTGACATGAAGTCATCCTTGTTCAGTGTTAAGTGTCTGCAGCCAAAGTACAATAAGTAATATTGACTAAGCAAGACTGCAAATAGTTTACTTTGCTTCTTATCTGACAGCTGTCAAATGATACGTTGTCAAATGAAAAGCAGAGCCCCCCCCCCCCCAACACTTAACTTGTAAAATAGTATGGTGAGATATCATCATCTGTCAAGTTAGTCCCTCTGGTTTTGAAATGTGGACCTGCCAGTTCTTCACCTACCCTTTCCCAAGACTCTAGGTGCTGAGGAAATGCACTCCATCCCAATTACTGGAGCATAGTATTGTGACAGTGGTAAAAAGAAAGGGTTTCTTGTAAAACATTTTCCCCACAGGGTTTTCTG